TTAAATTCCCAGTCTGATTATTCCAATATTCCTCCTATATGTGGTTCTGATGCTTGTTCTACCTTTTCAAAGTGTGGGTTTTGGTGTTTTTTTGTTTTTTGGCTTTTACTATGCCTGTTAACTTTTTCTTGATAGTCAGACATGATGTACCAGGTAAAAAGAACTGGTGTAAATAGGCCTTTTTTTTTTTTTTGGAGACGGGGGGAGTCTTGCCCTGTCACCCAGGCTGGAGTGCAATGGCGCGATCTCGGCTCACTGCAACCGCCGCCTCCTGAGTTCAAACGATTCTCCTGCCTCACCCTCCTGAGTAGCTGGGATTACAGGTGCATGCCACCACACCCAGCTAATTTTTGTATTTTTAGTAGAGATGGGGTTTCTCCATGTTGGCCAGGCTGGTCTCAAACTCCTGACACTGTGATCTGTCTGCCTCGGCCTCCCAAAATGCTGGGATTACAGGTGTAAGCCATTGCACCTGGCCTGTAAATAGGACTTTAATAATGTAGTAAGGAGTCGAGGAGGGGAGGTGTTCTATAGTCCTATGAGTAGGTCTCAGTCTTTGAGTGAGCCTGTGCTCTGGACACTTCACACGTGTTTCTCAGGGTTTTTTTCCTTCTTCAGTGGAACAGGATGGCTAAAGTGGGCTGGAGTTGAGGAGCCCACTCCTTCCACGTGGAAGGGCAGACCTGACTGGAACTGGCTATTTCTCTTCCCCCAGGTCAGTCAGGCTCAGACAAAACCCCAGAAGGTTTGGCTCTGGTTAAGTAGTTTCTCCCAAGGGCAAACCTTGCTAAGATGGCATATTTCAAAATGGTTCCTTTTCCTCTCCCTCTGAGGGAAGCACAAGGGGCTTCTTCTCAGATATCACTGAGAACCTGGCTGAACTCCTAGAAGTAAAAATCATGTGTGAGGGTCCCCAATAACTGGGTCCCCCTGACATTTTTATTCTCAGACTTGTCCACTCTGAACCTCCAGCAACTTGTCAGTTACAGTTCCGGGTTCCCTATCTTGGCACTGGGTTCCCCTAGAGGTTTCAGCCCATGAGCTTCTCCTCTAGCAAGCTAATTCTGAGCATTTGTGTTCTGGTCCCTGCAGTCTTAGGGAGAGTAGTTTGCTCTTGACCCTACCTTTCTTACACATCTAAAAGAGTTATTGATTTTTTAGTTCAGCTTTTTAATTATTGTTAGGATAGAGTGGCAACTTCTAGCTTTTTACATGTTGGACCAGAAACTGGAATTCAAGATTTTTTTTTTTTGAGATGGAGTTGAGCTCTGTCACCCAGGCTGGAGTCAGTGGTGCAGTCTCGGCTAACTGCAACCTCTGCTTCCCAGGTTCAAACGATTCTCCTGCCTCAGCCTCCTGAGTAGCTGGGATTCAGCCAGTAAGCCTGGCTGATTTTATTGTATTTTTAGTAGAGACAGGGTTTCACCATGTTGTCCAGGCTGGTCTTGAACTCCTGACCTCAAATGATCCGCCTGCCTCAGCCTCCGAAGTGCTGGGATTACAGGTGTGAGCCACTGCACCCAGCCAAGATAATTTTTTTTTTTTTTGATTTAAATACAGAGTCACATGAAATTGTTAAGAAATAATAGTGAAATCCCATGTACCCATTTACCCATTTTCCATCCATGGAAATAGATATTGCAAAACTGTAGCACAATATCACAGCCAGGATATTGACATTGATACAGTTAAGATATAGAACAGTTTCTTTCACTAACAAATTCTTCATGTTGCCTCCTCACAGCTGCAAACCTGGTAACCACTAATATGTTCTTCATTCCTATAATTTTGTCATTTCAAGAATGTTATATAAATGGAATCATATGTATGCCACCTTTTGAGACTGGCTTTTTTCGTTCAGCATAAGTCCCTGGAGATTCATCCAAGTTGTTATGTGTATTAATAGTGGCTTTTATGGCTGAATAATATTCCATGGCATGGCTGTATCACAATTTGTTTAACCATTCACCTGTTGAAGGACATCTGGGTTGATTCCAGTTTTTGGCTATTATGAATAAGGGTGTTATGAACATGCATATACAGGCTTTTGTGTGGACATAAGTGTCCGCTTACCTGGAATGAATGACCAGGAGTGTAATTATTGTCATTTGGTAGTTGCATATTTACTTTTTTGAGACACTGCCAAATTGTTTTTCATAGTAGTACCGGTGTATATTATCACTAGCAATGTATAATCCAGTTTCTTTGCATCCTTACGAGCAACTGGTGTTGTCAATAATTTTTATTTTATGATTACATCTATAGATCAATTTTTGGAAAACTGACATTTTGTTGAGTTTTCCCACGCATTAATATAGTATGTCTCTCTATCTAGATATTCTTTGATTTCATCAGCATTTTATAGTTTTTATTATGCAAGTCTTGTACATGTTTTATTGGATTTACATCTAAGTATATCATTTTTTGGAGTGACAATAAATGAAATAACATTTTCAATTTTGGTGTCCACATGTTTATCACTATTATATATAAATACAATTGATATTTATATGTTTATTTTATATCCTGCAACCTTGCTGAATTCATTAGTTCTAGGAGGTTTTAAAAATAGATTCCTTGGGCTGAGTGCAGTGGCTCATGCCTGTAATCCCAGCACTTTGGGAGGCCAAGGCAGGTGGGTCACCTGAGGTCAGGAGTTCCAGACTAGCCTGACGAACATGGAGAAACCCTGTCTCTATTAAAAATACAAAATTAGCCAGGCGTGGTGATGCATGCCTGTAATCCCAGCTACTTGGGAGGATGAGGCAGAAGAATCACTTGAACCCAGGAGGCGGAGGTTGCGGTGAGCTGAGATCGCACCATTGCGGGCGGTAGAGCGAGACTCCGTCTCAAAAAAAAAAAAAAAAAAAGCCTTAAGACATAGGGTTTCTATATTTTTCAAAAGATCAGGAGAAGCCAGGCACGATGGTGCGCACCTGTAGTCCCAGCTACTCAAGGAGGCTGAGAGAAGAGAATTTCTTGAGCCCAGGAGTTTCAAGGCCAGCCTGGGCAACATAGTGGGAACCCTGTCTCTTAAAAAAAAAAAAAAAAAAAAAAAAGATCAAGAGTAAGGTAGCAAAAGATACCTGCTCTTACCAGTCTTATACAACACAGTACTAGACAGAAGTTCTAGGCAATGGCAATAAGGCAATAAAAAGGAAATTAGAAGGCATGGACATTGGAAAGGAAGAAATTGAAACTGTCTCTATTCATACATGACATATATCTATGCAGAAACTCCAAGGAATCTTTTTTTTTTTTTTTTTTTTTTTTGAGATGAGTTTCATTCTTGTGCCCAGGCTGGAGTGC